TGACATTTGATGAAATTGTTTACAAGATTTCCCAATTTATTGATCCCAAGAGATCTCAGGTAAAAAACAAAAAACAAACAGTATATCATTCTGCCCTTATCTGTAGTAGTTAACTGTTTGAATTATCTCCATAACATGTTCAGAAAATCAGTAACCTCTAGTTATGATAAATCATCTAGTAACAGTGAATAATCCAACAACTTCAGCTTGACATGATACAGGAAGTCTTTTTGAAACACCTATTACCTAATAATTCTAGATTAAAACTGACTCCCTTAAAATGTATTCTAGGTTACCTTGAGTGATTCTTTTGAAATATTTTTTCTAATTTCCTGGAAAGATTTATTTTAAGTAAAAAAAAATGTAGTTATTTTTGCCTTAACTAGCTCTGAGTATATAAGTATTGCCAATATTTTGTTTCAATATTTCTCAGGAATCTGTTTGTTTACCCTTTTGCTAGTTCTTGCTATATACTCCATTGTGTGCTGTTCTATCAGTTCTTGCTGTTTTAGAACAATTCTAAAATAATAATATTCTTATTTCAGAATCAAGGAAAATCAGTGCCAAATGGTAACTGTGTTTCACCCAGCCATTCTCCATCACAGCCTAATAATACCCAGTCCCCCAAACCAGCCTGGAGGCCTCTCAGTTCACAAGGTTCTGCCACATGGGAAGGAGCCAAGAATTTGGTAAAAATGAAATTGTTGATTCTGAGCACAGTTAGATTTTGGACAAAAAAATAAGCCAAATTTAACATTATATGTATTTTCTCTAGGATGATGAGGAGGAAGAAGAAGAGCCTTGTGTGATCTGTCATGAGAATCTGTCTCCAGAAAACCTTTCAGTTTTGCCTTGTGCTCACAAATTCCACTCTCAGGTAACCCTTTAAACTTGTCCTGTTTATGTTTTATATTAATCAACTAAGTGAGATTCTTACAGCCTTAACTAAAATCATATTCATACATCATCATCCACTGTTGCATCATGAGTTCCACTGGTTATAACTCTGTGCTTTTGAGTACCACACAGAAACATTTACACCTTTCCCCACGTATAGCCATGGATTATACTATGCTTTCTCAGATCTCCATACTCCTTATAGGAGAAGGCGTCAATGCTGATATTTAAATGGTATATATTAGGCAGTTCCCTTGAATAGAACTAGGAGATGAGTTTATTGACCACAGTTTAGTGGCAGAAGTAGCAGAAGTGCCACTTCACCTTGACATGCTGTAAATACCACATAGTGTCCTTTGTCCACACCTAGTGATGGCCGCCTATCATTATAAAACGTAAAACTTATCTTAGCAGTCTGTTCAGGCTCCTGTATTTGCTTTTGAAGATCTCAGGCTTGAGTTTTGATGTTAGATAAATATGAAACTGGCATATCTTTTGTTGATTCTTGGCATTTATGTAGATTAACTCCTGGTGTTGCTACTGTGCAAGTGCTATTGATACACAATTTATGGTGCCAGTCCTCTGTTGCAGAAATGTAATTTGACATAGGAAAAGATAATCTTACACAAGAAAGCCTTCTGACGGAAGTGAACAATAGCCAGCTTATTCAAGCCATGTTTGTAAAACATCATTTGAAAGATGTGATATGTGGTACCTGCTACAGAATTGTATTTTTTATCTATTCTGATATGAAGATATATATACAAAATGGCTAATCTCAAAAGATCTCCCGGAAAGATATTTAGCCACCTGAACTTTCCTATTTGAAGTTTTTAAAGTCCTGAAAATGTAGAAAATAAATGTTTAACAAAATTTATTTTATTCTTTGCCATTACCCATTAAATAGAGAGCACATAATTCATTCAGGTTGCTTTTTAGGGTTATAGTTAGTGGTCTTCATATATATTGCCTATTCTTAATCCTCTCTTATCTGACCTGGCTGTCCATTATTCATACAGGTAAAAATGATTTGTTTTTAGAGAGTCAGTATTCAAGCAAGTGACTTAACGGATAGTTAGTTCATAGCCAAAGATTACTACCACTGCCACCAAAGAGAACAATCTGAGAAGTTCAAGGGATCTTTAAAAAGTTCATGGAAAGATTCATATTATGTTTCAATTCTATTTTTCCATGAACTTTTTCAAGTACCCTTGTATATTCATCATCTAGGGATTTTAACTTCAGAACACCATAATAAGCACTTGATATAGGGTGTTGGTGACTTTATATGTTTAATTATGGCTTTTTCTGGATTATAAATGAGAATAATAGATAATAAAATAAACCAGAGAGAGAACATAGCAAGTTTCCCCAATATCTTTGTCAGGAAGAATTGCTAGCCATTCTGAAAATTGGGGTTGGGGGAAAAAACCTAATAGAAAAAACTGGCTGAAATGTGTTCTGCAGTGACCAGCTGTATTGCTCAGCAACCCACAGAGAAGGTCCCATTGTTGCAGCAGTTGGCTTTGCAATCCACAGGATAAGGCTTTGAGATCCACAAGAAGACATGTTGGTTGGTAACCCTGATATACAGAGTGATGGCTCACTACACTAGGCTAAGTCTGAGAGACTGACATGAACCTTTTTGCTTTTCAGTGCATTAGACCATGGTTGATGCAACAGGGGACGTGCCCAACCTGCAGACTCCATGTTTTGCTACCAGAAGAATTCCCTGGTCACCCCAGCCGACAGTTGCCCAAGATCTGATAAAAGGAGCGTAACTGTACAGGAAACTTAGTTTTCAGGCTTTGGGATTTAGTTCTGCCTTCTGTTATGAGCTGATTGTATGAATGGTGTGAAGCAGTATGCTTTTCAGTTCTGTGTTGAAGAAGCACATCAGAGTGGCAACCAAAGAGGTCAGTATGAATCTCAGGACTTGTGAACTGAAGTGAAAGGGCTTAAAGTTAAAGAAAATGAAATTTTGTTAGTGACATATTTGCTCTTAATAGGTTTTTTCTCTTAATATAAACATAATAGCTGTTAGTACATTTCTTAGAATGTCTTTTCTTGTCTTTTTTTCCTTCTTATTCTACTCATCCTTTACTTTGCCTCAAGTATGCTACATTTAATTTCCTGAAAGAAATTTAAGCAAGAGGGAAAGTGGAATAGTAAAGACGAGAAGGAAGACAATTCCACAGATTTTAGTGTTACTTTAGCTACAAAAAAATATAATTGAATTATTTAAATTTAATCTCTATCTTCCCCATTCTTTTCTGTCCTCTAAAATATGTACCCATGAGATTTTGGGTTACTTGAGGGTAGAAACCATACAGTAGTATGTTGGAGCTGGCTTATAATGGCTTGTGAGAGCTGACTGTTAAAATTTCAGGGTTTTTTGAGCCAGTTGTCAAATCATTGCTAGCTTGGAGTCTGCCATAGTGGGAATATTTATACCATAGAAATTCTTCCCCTCAAGGACGGGTTAAACATTTACCAGCGTACTACTGGAGCATGTCTGATCCTTTTTTGTGTTCCCAATTTCTTCACAGTAGGTACAGAATAAATATTCCCAGAATCAGAAATCAAGAAGTAGTAAGAAAAGGAAGTAATATGTAAATTAAGTCACATGCTCAGTTGAATAATTGAGATCTTATGTTCATTTGTAAACATGCTCTTTGGACCTTAATCATTTGCATTTTGGAAAGGGTTTTTTTTGTTTTTGTTTTTGTTTTTCCTGCTTTTAAAAGTTTCTAATTTCACTTTCCCAGGAGAGTGGGAGAAACTATTTGTATGTAGCTGCTTCTTGTGACAAAGTCAATACCCACTGGGCTAAATTGCATATCTAAAGCTCGTCACCGAGAACTTTTGTTCTTAGAGGTCAAAAACCTATTTTGAAAATAATGTTGTATAAATGCTGTAAGTGTTGTACATGCCTCTAGTTTCAAAATTAAAGGTATTCAGAGTTACCTTGTGAGACATTGTTCCTTGGTTCATACTCAGTCTCGATTTCGTTTAAATTATGGAAAACAATTAATGTTTCCTGACTAAGCTACTATTTTATCTGTATATTTCAGTGTAAATGTATCTTGAAGTTACTTTAAATCTCTACTTAAAACCTCAATTTCTGTAATTGTATGCTAAAAGTTTTCTTCTGTATGTAATGAGAATATAATGGAAAATGTGAGAAAAAACCTCCAAAAACCATGGCAGTCATTTAGACATGTAAAATGCCAAGAATGTCTTGGAATTGCAGAATTCAGAACTTAAGAGTCTTTAATCATCGTCTTGTCTAGCACCTCAAGGTCATGGTCATATAACAAGTTACCTTGTAAAACAAATGTTTCTTAGTTCATGTTTACAATTGCAATTTCACTTTCATGTGGAAAAGAATAAATGTTTCTTAATTGAACAACAATTTTATCTGTGTATTTCAATTTAAATATATCCTGAAACTACTTTAAATCTTTATTTGAAGCATCTCTTTGTGTTTAATTGTGCTTAAACGTTTTCTTCTGTTTTGAGAAAGGATAGGAATATGTGAAGGAAAATATCCTAGAAGTCAGTGATCTAGACTTGTAAAATGCCGCGGATATCTTGAAATGCCAGAGCTTATTGGGCCCTTAATGATCATTTCTTATTTTATAGGTATGTCTTGCCCAAAGTCATGTGACTACACAGTGGCTAAGCCAGACCTAGTATTTGAGGGTCCTAATGTTGCATCACGTGCTTCCTTCACAAACTCTTGCTGTAAGATGGTATTGGTGCTGACCTGTCACTATTAGTTCCAAGGATGGGGCCAGAGGACTTAACACAATAGCTGATATATAGTGAGAATGTAGTAGGACAGTGCTCCTGAAAGTCATGTTGAGTTCTGCAGGTACTGAAGCTAGTGAGATTGTTTTGTTTCTCTGATGTATAACATTTAACAATAAAGATAATTGTAGGGGTCATTCCACCACAGTGATCACTGTTGTGCCTGTGGCTACTAAAGGATGATCCAGAACACTCCACCCTGCCCAGAAATTCAGGACCATAGAGTTCCTATAGTAACAATATTTACATAAAAAACTACTGCATGTTTTCAGTAACATCACTGCTCCTTCTCTAAGAGGATATGTTATATTTATCATTTATGTGTATAGCATTCTACAGCTTTTATGGGATAACTTATAATGAATTTGGCACCCTATTTGATTCAGTAATAACTCTGAGGTGGATATTACTGTCCCTATTTTACAGGTAATGAAACTGAACTCAAGTAACAGGGAATTAACTTGTCCCTAAGGTCATAGCTACAAAGTGGCATTCTGGGATTTGAATGCAGATCTTCTGTCCTTTAGCTGGTGTTATTTTCCAGGACTTCACAGCTGCATCCCCACTTTGGATTGACTTTATACACATAAGAAAAGTAGTATTTTCTTTCTTTAAATAATATTCTTCTAATTAAGAAAATTAAACACATGGTAAGCACACTGATAGTTTTGAACTAGGAATATGATAGTATATAAAAATATATAATAGTGGCAGGACATGGTGAGAGAAATTTGACTGACATTTCTTTCCTATGGTTTGCTTGGGATAGTTCAAGTGAGTATTTGTTGTCTTGACATAATAGTTTCCTCTTTCACTCTCAAAAGTGTCCAAGTTTGGATGATAAATTTTATCTTATGGTTAAATCAGGGAAGGTAGGCTTATTTGTTTTTAAACCAGATTCAAATTTAGCAAGAATGTTCTGAATTTATAAAATGCTCTTGGAATTCCTTATTTCTAGGATTACAGTAGTTTGAGATTCTATAGCTACATAAAAACAAAAAATGAATACTAATTTATTGTTAAGATATATGGTTTCTGATTTTCATGAGTAGGCAGTTTTCAGTGACTAGTTGTGTAGATTTGAAGATGGTACTCAACAGAGCTAATAGGCTCTTGTTCTTAAGTATAGATCCTGGACCACCATTACATTACATGGTATGTTTGTAAAAACACATGTTCTAAGAGGTCTGGGAATCTGCATTTGGAGTATACTAAATTTGAAAACCACTGGGGTGGTAAAAAGTGCCTTTCTCAGGCAGATCTAAGTTTGGATTTTCTAATTCCATCTCTGGCATATTGTGTGATCAACAAATTATTTAAATTTTCTTAACCAGTTTCTTTTCTGGAAAATTGTGAAAAGACTTCTTGCCTGATAGTGGTTGTTTTAAATGAACACTTATTAGTTTTTTTCCCCCCAAAGTAGCAGACTTTCTTTTAGTCATTCAACCTATTTAAATTTATTTATTTACATTTTTTTCTTAATAATATCACAACAGTGATTATGGGCCTGTGTGCATGCATCAGCATAATAGCAATTTGTAACATTACAGCTTCATTTACTTGGTTTAAGTGCTCTCTGCTAGATTGCTTCACTGTAAAGTTAATTATGTTTCTCTTTGTCACTAATGAGTATCGTAGGGAAATTTGCTGAGTGATGTGCATAAACCATTACTTCTAATCCAGAAACTTTTCTTTTTTTTTTAATTGGTTATGAATATTCATAGAGTACAAAGCTGACTGTCACCACTTGTGCCCAAGATATGATGGCCAGGTCAATACTAGGAACATGCCCATTACCACAAATTGTGATTATTCCCCGTGTCATCCACCCAGTTAATCCCCAACCTCCCTCCCCCTGCCCCTTTCCCCCATCCCACTCTGCAACCCTAGGTATGCTCTCTCCTTCTGCAAGTCCAGTGTACCACTGTGGTCTTTCTTTACTTCCTTCCTTCTCTCTTAGCTCCCACAAATGAGTGAGGATGTGGTATTTTTCCCTCTGTGCTTGGCTTATTTCACTCAATATGTTTGTCTAAGCTCATCCATGTTGTTGCAAATGACAGAATTTCATTCTTTTTTATGGCAGAGTAGTATTCCAAGGTGTATATATATATATGTCATATTTTCTTTACACAGTTGTCCTTTGATGGACATATAGGTTGGTTCCATATCTTGGCTATTGTAAATAGAGCTGTGATGAACATGGGAGTGCAGGTATCTCTTCGACAAGATGATTTCCATTTCTTTGGGTATATATCCAGAAGTGGGATTGCTGGATCGTATGGTAGATTTATCTGTAGTTGTTTGAGAAAACTCCATAACTGTTTTCCATAATGATTGTACTAATTTACAGTCCCAACAACAGTGTAGGGGTGTTCCCTTCTCTCCACATCCTCACCAGTATTTGTTATTCTCTTCTTTGTTATAGCCAGTCTAAGTAGGTGAGATGATATCTCAATGTAGTTCAGCTCCTTTGCCCATTTTTTGATTGGGTTATTTTTTACTGTGTAATTGCTTGAATTCCTTGTATATTCTGGATATTAATCCCTTGTTGAATGTATAGCTTGCAAGAATTTTCTCCCACTGTGTAGGTTGTTGTTTCACTCTGTTGATTATTTCCTTTACTGTGCAGGAGCTTTTTAGTTTGATATAGTCCCATTTGGTTATTTTTGTTGTTGTTGCTTGTGCTTTTGGGTTCTTGTTCATAAAGTCTGTGTCTGGACCTAGTTCCTGAAGAGTTTCCCCTATATTTTCCCATAGTAGTTTCACAGTTTCAGGTCTTAAAAGTCTTTAATCCATTCTGAGTTGATTTTGGTATATGGTGAGAGGTGCCTATCTAGTTTCATTCTGCATATGGATACCCAATTTTCCCATCATCACTTATTGAAGAGGTAGTTATTTCCCTAATGTATGTTTTTGTTGCCTTTGTCAAACATCAGTTGGCTGTAAGCCTGTAGAGTGATTTCTGGGTTCTCTATTCTGCTCTACTGGTGTGAGTGTCTATTTTTATGCCAGTATCATGCTGATTTGGTTACTATAGCTTTCTAGTATAATTTAAGTCAGGTAGTGTTATACCACTGGCTTTATTTATTTATTTTTTGCTCAGGATGACTTTGGCTATTTAGGGCCTCCTTTTGTTCCATATGAATATTAAGATTTTTTTTTTTTTTCATTTCTGTGAAGAGTGTCAGTGGTATTTTTATGGGGATTGCATTGAATCTGTAGATCACTTTGGGTACTCTAGACATTTTCACAATGTTATTTCTTAAATCCAAGAGCAAGGAATGTCTTTCCATCTTTTTGTGTCTTTAATTTCTTTCAGTAGTGGTTTGTAGTTCTCATTGTAGAGATCTTTGATCTTTCATCTCCTTGGTTAAATTGATTCCTGGGTATTTTGTGTTTTTTTTGTGACTGTTGTAAATAGGCTTACTTTCTTGATTTCTCTCTCTATTAGCTCATTATTGGAGAATATAAATGCAACTGATTTGGGGGCATTTATTTTGTATCCTGCAATGTTACCAAAATTTTTAACCACCTCTAAGAGTTTTTTGATAGAGTCTTGAGGTTTTTCTACATAATAGTATCATGCCATCTGCAAATAGGGACAGTTTGACTTCATCTTTTCCAATCTGGATGCCTTTTATTTCTTTCTCTTGTCTGATTGCTCTGGCTAGTACCTCCAGTGTTATGTTAAATAGAAGTGGTGAGAGTGGGCATCCTTGTCTTGTTCCTGTTCTTAAGGGAAAAGCTTTCAGTTTTTCTCCATTCAGGATGATACTGGTGGTGAGCTTGTTGTAGATGGCTTTTATTGTGTTGAGATACTTTCCTTCTATACCTAATTTGTTGAGGGTCTTTATCATGAAGGGATGTTGAATTTTGTCAAATGCATCTATTGAGATAATCATGTGGTTTTTGACCTTATTTTCTTGATGTGATGGATCACATGTATTGACTTTCGTATGTTGAACCATCCTTGCATCCCTGGGATGAATCCCACTTGACCACAGTGTATAATTTTTTTGATGTGTTGCTGTAGTCTGATTGCTAATATTTTGTTGAGGATTTTTGCATCTGTGTTCATCAAGGATATTGGACTGTAATTTCCTTTTTTTGTTGTATGTTTGTCTGGTTTTGGTATCATGGTGATGCTGGCCTCATAGAATGAGTTTGGAAGAATGGCTTCTGTTTCAATTTTTTGGAATAGTTTAAGGAGAATTGGTATTCTCTTTAAAGGCTTGATAGAATTAAGCTGTAGAGCCATCTAGACTTGGGCTTTTCTTTGTTGGAAGATTATTGATTACTGCTTCAATCTCACTGCTTGTTATTGGTCTGTTAGGTTTTCTGTCCCTTCTTGGTTCAGTCTGGGTAGTTTTTAATTTAGCCATTTCCTCCAGGTTTTCATATTTGTTGTCATACAATTGTTTATAATAGTCTCTAATGATTCTTTGTATTTCTGTGATATCAGTTGTAATGTGTCCTATTTCATTTCTGATTTTTGTTATTTGGGTCTTCTGCCTCTTCCCCCCCCCCTTTTTTTTTGTTAACCTAGCTAATGGTTTGTGTATTTTATCTTCTCAAAAAAACAAGATTTTGTTTCATTGATCT